TCATCATCACAACACATCTAATCACATTGCATTTAAATGCAAGCACATTAAATAAACAAATATTATTATGTGATTAAGTATAAAGCAATGAATATTTATGCTATAACAATAAAAATAAATAATTACTAATTAAATAATAATTACTAATTAAATAAATAGGTAATTATAGCATTATGCGGTAATGTAACTATGCATGATGCAGATGATAGTGCACTGTTTATTAGTATTCACAGTGACAAAGAAGAGAGGAAGCTCTCGGATTTTGATTCGCAGGAGTGATGGACAAACTCGGACAATCTAATAAACTATAAATGCAAAGGAAATAACTAAAGTAAATAAAGAGATTTATTTTTAAATATATCAAATTGAATAATTATTCCAAACAAACCTATTAACTTATCCATTAAATACAACTATTCCAAACAAACCTATTAACTTATCCATTAAATACAACTAGCCTAGATTCTTTCAAATTTTCGGTAGCACCTTCCCTAAAAATGGGACTATCAACCTATTTAAATATCCTATTAACACTAAGTATTATTCAATCAATACACATAGCCCATCCATCGGGCAATCAAATAAATTTATTTCGCTTCCTCCATCCAAAGTAATCACATCAATGTTTAATCGTCAATGTCAAACTTTTGAACTTACTATATAACATTAAGTAAATAAATAAATAAGCATATAAGTGAAAATAGCTATTTGTTTAACCTCCACATGTTACTAGTTAAACTATCTAATATGGACCCTTAATAATCATATAAAACTATAGCTTATGTATCCAATAATCGTTAACTAAAATCTCGTATTACAACTTAACAATCTATGAATTATCATTCTTATTAAGCAAAATTTATTTTTAAATAATATCTTTGATCAGTCCTTGAATACATAGATACATATATAAGCATAAGTGCATAATTAGCTTTCATGATTAATTCATTTCCATATTCTTTAATTTGTACATGTACATATAAAACCTCAAGCTCAACCATTGCATACACACTTATATAAATATACCCCATAAATCATCCATAAATTTATACATGTCTTTCTTTCTCTATACCAATGCCAAAACCAAATTTCTAATCAAACTCATAGCCTACTTGCTAACAAATTCGTTAATCAACGAGGAATTCATAAAATATACTGAGATTGGTTGGAAATTAATTACCTAGCTACACGATGCGTCGAAAATTAAATAATTTATTCATAACGATCATTCTAGATGACTTGTATTCTAAATTTTTTTGAATTAAGTGTATTTATCTATCGAAGTTTTTTTGAATTAAGTGTATTTATCTATCGAAGTTTCCTAACAAGAATCGTATTCGATTAATTATTTAATCGCAATCAACTTATAGTTTAAAATTTGGAGTTTATACTAAAAAAAAGAGGAACTAGGTCTAAGAATGTACCAATCGAAAATCAGACTACGATTCCACGATTAGCGTGAGGAGAAGATGATTTTGCCTCTTGGGGCCTCGCCGGATAGCGGTGGCCGAAAAATCCAAACAGCCCAGAATTTTGCAATGATACCACCACCTGACTCGAATTTTGCTAAAGATTCCATTTCTAGCGTTAATTAAGTGAGATCAGACCTCTAACTTATTAGATTAGGCTCTACAGTGGCTTTATCTCCGCCGTTAATGGTGGTTTCATCCTCCATGCTCCATTGCCAAAATTGATGGAGGGAAAGTAGTCGCGTGTAGGAGAGGAGTCGACCGTTGCCTTCACTTAACGTTGGAACTGTCGAAAATGGCGTCGATAGCCGGAAAACCTCATCGCTCGAGTTCCAGTCACGTTCTCTCGTTTCAGGCTTGTACCTCGCAAATCAAGACCACAGGTAAGTTCCTCTCATTGCAAAGATTAAGTTAGAGTGTTTTGTTGCCGGGTTTCATGGCCGGTGGCCAGAAAACAGAGGGAAAGGGAGAGAGGTGACCAGCGCGCACGTGAGGAAGAAGAAGAAGAAGTAGAGAAAAGAAAAAAAAATCTGGGGTTTCTAGACTATTCTAGTTTGGTCCAACTCAATGGTCTAGTTCGGTTCTTGCTTGATTTACGGGTTTTTCACTTGGTTTCAGAAAATTCAAACTGGTTTACAAGTCTGGTTTAGCAATAATTTTTTTTTTTTTTTTTTTTTTTTTTTTTTCTTTTTTTTTTTTTTTTTTTTTTTTTTGCAAAATTTCATTGGTTAAAATTTTCAATTAAATTTTTAAATGAAAATTTTTTTTGAAAAAAATTTTTCATGTCATTTTATAGGATCGATATCAAGCGGGGGCATCGCAAGAATCTCTTCAGTCACGGGTATCCTCCCAGAAATAATGTTGAACTCTTTAAATAAAGGACAGATCTCAAAGTTATTGTGACAAAATAAGTTGTCTGAATGGTCAAAATGGTTGATTAACCATTGTAAAAGCTTGGGTTGGACCCAAATGTTCCAGTAGTAACTCAACCTGTGAAGTTCAAAGGATGAGAGTGTATATCAGTCCTCCCAAGTGAGACTACGGAACAATACTTCAAACATTGGCACCAAGGACCGATCTATGAAGAAATGAGAAGAAATGGAGTGTTTTGGGGCAGTTTCTGAGTTAAAGTTGTGCTTGGTTGAGAGAAATGAGCCTTTGAAGCAAATTTATGGGTTATAGGCTTTTATAGCAAAGTTAAAGGACAAAGTTGACAATTGTCTGCCACTACAGTTGTAGTTGCACACGGCACATATAGTGGCGCCAACTACAACAGTAGTGGTGCATGCCACTTCAACTCAGACAACAGTAAGTTTCTGATTTTTGCTATATTTCATTTCACAAACTCACAAGCAACCTGTATAATGTCTATAAAGCAAGTGCACATGATATAAACTCAGAAGTAATAAATAATTCAACGATTGTTGTTGTATAAATGAAAGTTCACGAATTTCTTTACAAAAAATAATGTTCCCTGAAATTAGGTCCTACCTAAACAAAAAAAAAAAAAAAAAAAAAAAAAGAAAAAAAGAAAAAGAATAATTAAAAAGAGGAGAAGCCGAAGGAACGAGCACCGCCTCAAGACATCTACGAGGCCTTTCCTCAGAAGTGTATCACTATCAACCTTGATTCAGCCCTCCTCCAATCAAAAAAAAAAAAAAAAAAAAGAAAAAAAAAAGAAAAAGAATAATAAAAGAGGAGAAGCAAGGACGAGCAGCCGCCTCAAGACATCTACGAGGCCTTCTCCTCAGAGTTATCACTATCAACCTTATCAGCCTCTCCAATCACGACTGATTTGCGTCCGGCTCCTCGACCAGTCCTCCCACCTTGCTGGAACTCCTGACCTCGACTCCCTGGAGGCGCCATACTAGCTCTCTGCATGCATTCAGATTCATCAGTACTGCATATCATGCATACACAACGTACATGTTGCATTCTCTTGTCTATTTTCTGATACTTACAGATATATGCTCATTCGAGAGCCTCGCCACAGCAAGCTTGAGTCATGCAGCCTCTATAGCTGGCACACCTTGTTGTAGTTTTTAATTGACACCTACACAATAAAATAAGGGTAGCTGATAAGAATGGGAAATAATAAAAGAGAAAATGTTAATGTCAATGGAAACTAGATTGGAAAAGCTGATAAGAATGGGAAATAACAAAAGAGAAGAACATACAGCTGGCACACCTCGTTGTAGTCTTTATAATGTGGTTTTGAAGGCAAGGTTAATGCCAATGGAAACTAGATTGGAAAAAGATTTCCAACGGTACATGACAGGCCAAAATCGGAGTTGAAACAACTTCGAACCGGCCGAATAAGCCAAACCAGTCAACCTAGCCGGTCAAAATAATTTTCCTTAAAGATTTATATTCTTATCATATTTAATATGTACCATATATCCAATTAAAATTAAATTATCTTTATTTTTTCAAACTAATAAAATTAAAATCCTCAAAGATATTATATTTTATCATATTTAATCTATATAATATAATTTTTTAGTTTATTCAATATAATTTAGATTTAAATAGAAAAATAATTATAACCAATCAAAATTAAATTACTTTTATTCTTAGATAATAAAATTAAAATCTTTAATGATACTAATGATTGGTGAATAAATTAGAACTATAAAAATAACACCCATCAAATCACTTATTGGTTTGCCAAAGAAATGCAAATAAATTTAATGAAAATCGCTTAGATCTTTCCGATATTTTTGTGTACATAAAGGATGATTCATGAATGTATTAACTTTTTTAGTTTTATTTGGATGCTGAGAAAATGAAGAAAATGTCAAGCAGTCGCGAACTGTATTAGCGTTCATGGTGGTTTCACTAAAGGGAGGTGTCCATAGAAATCGAAGGAGGGAAAATGTCAAGGAGGTTATTTTGAGCTGATCGAAACTCATCCCACAACCTGAGGCCATTAGAAATAGTGTACATCATGGGAAAGTTGAAGCTATTACGGTGACGAAGCATTCAAGCGCCGATATCTCGCATACAATGCCTAATTTGCACAATCCGAGGCCAAAATAAAAGCTTCCCTCATCGAGTATTAGGGTCTAGAGTCAAAGAGAATTAGTTTCCATGGAGTTTTGATCGAGAAACAGGAAGGAATGGTGGAGAGAGTATTAGCGTCGAAGGGAGAAGAAGATGGGGAGGGAAATGTGTTTTCTCTCTTTTGATCCCATTGGTTATACCATGGTTTGGTCTAATTTGAAGGTTGGGTTGATCCGATTAGGATTCTAGAAGGTTTTTTTTGATTTTTCAATAACAATTTAAATTGATTTTTGAGTTTTCTTTTGATTTGATCACGTATTTGTGCGAAGTGGATTTAGTTGCATCCACATTAGCTTCCAGCTATTTAAGAAGGACACCATATTTGTTGATTTAACATTTCGACAATTAAATTGGTGAAAGCCACTTAATTGCAAATTTTTTAAAATATAGGCACTCTTATCAAAATAGCGAAAAAAAACACAAAATTAAAATATCAAAGTTATCATTTTCCCAAGGTTATATAAGGTTTTAATTTGCCGGTTCATTTAACTCAAACTGCCAGTTTATTTACGGCTGTCCGGCTGTCCGGCTGCCTCCAAGAGAAAGCCAAAAATACAAATCGATATTAAAATATTAGCTGCAACGTGAAAACAAACGGCTATTTATACAAAGCTGTAACATCCTCTCGAATCTTCTCTCAGCACTACAAGAGAAAAGGAATTAGGTTCTTGTGCAAGTCTTCTGAAGGAACAGAAAAGAAAAAAAAATGGCTGGAATAGAAATGATATTTCCAAGAGAGTATGGGTACGTTGCTCTGGTTCTTGTAGCCTATTGCTTTCTCAATTTCTGGATGTCTATTCAGGTGGGTAAGGCTAGAAGGAAGTACAAGGTGTCATATCCAACTCTTTACGCTATAGAATCTGAAAACAAAGATGCTAAGCTCTTCAATTGCGTCCAGGTCTGCCTTTCCCTTTCCTTTTCCTACTTCTGTTTTGTATTTTAAATGTGAAAATGTTGATAGGATTTCTTTGTTTGATAATTTAAAATTTGTATGTGCAGAGAGGGCACCAGAACTCGCTAGAGATGATGCCCATTTTCTTTACAATGATGATTTTAGGAGGGTTAAGGCATCCTTGTGTGTGTGGTTCTCTTGGATTTCTGTATACCATTACTCGTTACTTCTATTTCACTGGCTATGCCACCGGAGATCCCCAGAAACGGCTAACCATCGGGTTGGTTCATTTTTCCCTATTCTCTTTTTATAGTTAATTTGCTGCTTGGTAATTTGAATTTATTAATAAAATATACAGATCACATATGCTAATTTAGGTTTTTAATCGCTTGGCTTTCGAAATTGAAATATGAGCCTGGTTTGTTTGGTTTAATAATTTTTTAATTGACTGTTTCTTAAAAGAAATTAAATGTAATGAACTAAATTTTTAAACTTAATGATAAAGACTAAATTTCTATTTTTTAATTTTTATTTTTGTTATTGACTGTTTCTTCAGCCTGAACTAACAGTACTTGAACCTCTGTTTGGCTATATATATATATATTTCTTTTCTTTTGGTTTACATTCATATTATGAAAAGGTCAAATCAAACTATTAATCATTAATCAAAGTAAACTGTAGTTCAATGATTTCTGTACTTTTCCTTGAGTATTTGAATTTATAAATAGGATGGTAGTTCGGTTTCAAAACAGAAGAGAAAAAACTAGGATGGTAGTTAAGGCTGCTATAATTAACCAAGCTGCTTTTGAATGGCTCAGGGACTTAGCTTGATGAGCGTTTGTTCATAAACAAGCTGCTCACAGTGTTAATCTTAAGGCTTGTTTATAAATGAGTCAAGCTTGAATAGCATTAATCTTACTTATTTAGGTTGATGAGCAATTCTTTAAGCTTGTAGGATATGTATATAAATAGGTTCATTTTTGGGCTTACCGATTGGCTTGATTAATATACTAGTTTTAGATCATTTAGCCATAAACAATGTAAAATGAAGTGTTCCAATGGTTCTTTTACCATGCTTCTTTAACTTACAGTTAAATTTGGATGTTTGTGAACAACTTTAAGTATTGGCTTGATAAGAGCTTTGTTTAAATGAGCCAAACTTGAGCTAGACTAGGCTTTGTCAGTTTCATTAAATGACTAAATCTCAAGGTTGATTTTTAAGCTTATTTAGTAAATGAGCTAACTTTATACATCAAAAGCTCAATTAAGTTCGTTTTAAAGCCTTAATGGCAGCTGGGTGTGGATTTGCATGAACACGCTGAGATATCTCTACCCTTTTCTTTCTCCCATGGGAGTCAATATGGAAAAGATCCATCGCCATTAGGGAAAGGGAAAATAAAATCCTTGGTTTTGAAAATCTAATAAAGAGAAAAGTTTGCTTCATTGTTACAAGAAAATTAATTCATTTCTTGTTCATTGTATATGGACTCTTTGAAGGTTTCTACTGAGTTAGTGACAAGATTAACATTCGAATCTACATGGACATAAACTATAACCAGGGTTATAGCTTCATCTTTGTCCTCAACATTATTCCTGCTGAAGCAGTGGAGGTGTTCATGATATGATTCTTCAGTCTGAACCATAGACAACCAAATTGTATCAACAATTTGGTTTAATTTACTAGGATTTAATTCTTTGGTTTCTTCTCTTATACTCAGTAGCCAAACCCGAACATTAGTGAAAAGTAAACTACTCCCTCAATCCCAAAAAGTTAGTCTATCTTTTTTTTTTTTTTTTTTCCAAACTCCGAACATTAGTGAAAAGTAAACTACTCCCTCAATCCCAAAAAGTTAGTCTATCTTTTTTTTTTTTTTTTTCATTTGTTCCAAAATATAGTCCACTTTCTTTTTTTTTTTTTTTTTTTTTCATTTGTCCCAAAATATAGTCCACTTTCTTTTTTTCCATTATAGTTAATCTTTAAATTGTCTATTATACCCTTATTAAATTTTATCTTATTTTACCCTCATTATTTTTATTTATTATTCAAATATAATAATATCTCATGTGTTATTTAAGATGCGCATAATAGAAAAATTATATGAATAAAATTGTCCTTTAACCATAATAATTGTTATTTCTTAATTTGTATGAAAATAGAAAGTGGACTATCTTTTCGAGACAGAGGAAGTATATTTTATTTATTTAAACCATTAATCAAGGAAAGGTGTAGATTGATTTTCGGGCTTCTCTAATAAATTATCTGGATTAGCTCAGCTCAACTTGTTTAGGACATTTGTGGCAATTGGTGGGAACTTCTTAGAACAGGATGAGGAATTATGGGAAATTCCTATCACGTAGAGACTTTAGGTTACAGCTCTAGATCATCCACCATGCATCTTTTAGAGAGACAAATTATGTGTTTGTATATGGAGATTTGTTCTTTCATTATGTAACTTGTGTTTGTCATCTGATCTTTAGTTAATTGGCATTTATATTTGTATAATTGAAAATATAAAATTAAAAAAGGCTATATAAAGAAATCTGTAGTTTGATCCTATTTTAAATATTTTTATAGTAATCACAATCTGTAATCAAAATGAAATCTCACATTTCTTTTAATACCAAAATAATAGTAATAACTGTATCAATCAAATAGCCATTGGGAACTAACTTTAAAAAAAAAAATTTATATATACTTTATTAGCTGGAACTCTAATTGCAGTTTTGGATGGTACCATACTATTTATGTTCCACTGATGGAGGATGTGAGAGTGAGGCTGTTTGGATCTCAAAAATAGACTTTATATAATATATGTTGATTTGTAGTGGATTTCATAAGCTTTTCATCATTCAAAACAAGAATATTTTAGGCTTGCGATTGATATTGTATACTTAATTTAACTAACAAATTATCTAGCTACTTGATTAATAATGCTAATGCAGAGAGGTTCTTGTGATATTTCTTAATCGTTTCTCCTTTTATGCTAGTTGATTGGTGAATCTACATTCTTTATGTGCAGGAAATATGGGTTCTTGGCTTTGTTTGCCCTTATGATATGCACTATCTCATTTGGCGTCAGTCTTCTTCGAGGATAGTTTTTGGTTTCGGACATGAACTTTGGCTTACATTCATCTACTGTTTCTCTCTTTTTATTTGAATGGTGCTGATATGTTTTGAGCAAGTGTGAAGCCTTTTTCGAATACATCCATGCAAACGCATGCTCAATGTAAAACACTTTCTTCGTTTTTGCAGAACTAAGATGCATATTGTTGGACATGGATTTTAAAAATATTAATCTTAGATGCTTTCTCAAATTAATTTTGTTGCTAATGCTATTCCAAAGCTTTATGGATTATTAGTTCTTGGCACATTGTAGTATTGGTGCTTAGTTGCTTGGTTTGCTACAATTCTTGGATTCATATTACCATCCTTTGGCTTTCAAAAATAATAAAAAGCACTACCTGGGATGTAGAATCTTCTGTTTAAATAGTGGGTTCTACTGATCCATTTTCTAGTTGCAGCTTTCCAAGAAATTGTTGAATATGGGAATTTGATCCTTTTTCTACCTTTTTTTTTTTTTTTCTGTATCTGAGTTGGAAATGTGTGCTTTGAAATGTTATACTCTATATCTTGTGCACTCATCATGGATGAACGCAACTGGTATTGCTGTTACCTGACCTAGGCTCAACTACCATAATGATCGTCATGAACGTACTTTTTTTTTTTTTTTTTTTTTTTTAATGGACGTCATGGAAACGTACTTTTTTTTTTTTTTTTTTTTTTTCTATTTTTGTATTTAAAGGAAAACCACTAACAATAGAGTGCTTAAATTTTTAAAAGATTGTAATTGGGTGTTCTAGGATTGAGCTAGCTATGATTGTTTTTTTTTTTTTTTTTTTTTTTCTATTTTGGTATTTAAAGGAAAACCACTAACAATAGAGTGCTTAAATTTTTAAAAGATTGTAATTGGGTGTCTAGGATTGAGCTAGCTATGATTGTATAATTGCAGGACTTGATTTTTTAACACATGGCAGCTAATGTGAAAAAAAAAAACTCTAAAATTGCCAAATAAGCCAAATCTATGCTAGGAAATCTCATTTTTAACCTTCATATATTATTGTCCATTAACCCAATCCCATCAAGCGATTCTCAAGTCTCAATCATCCATCCATCATCACTTTCAAATACTAAACACAGTCTTTCTCTTTCATGTACTACTCTCAGAGATGGCCATCGATGCCTCCCCGATATATTGTACTCCCGATCTTCCCCACTTCGAGATTCTCAATATCTCAGTGTTACGTACACAATGATATGTGAATTCCTTTAAAACATTTACTGTAGAAACCATCCAAAATTCGCACATCATATCTATTTGAAATGCAACAGCATGTGGATACTTTCAGTCATTATGCTCTCTTTGGAAAATTCAACTGCATTTCCTTCCATCTTAATGAAACATTATTAAAACCCTCTAACAATGAATATTCAGTACTATATGGTAATATTCATGGCAAGTTTTGAACTTTCTTGGATGATTTTCGAAATTTAGTGAGAAAATTAAAGGTATTCTCTTTTTTTTTTTTTAATATTGAATTATTTGATGGTAGAAAATCGCATGTCTAAAATCTGCAAAAAGAAAATCTTCTACTGTTTGGTTCTAAGATGTACGTTTTTGGTGTCAAAAGCTTTAATCCCATTCAGTAACAAAGTTAATCTCCCTTATATTGAAAACTGAAACCAATGAACGAAACGTGCCTTCTGTTTCATTTATTTTGTTTTTTTATTTGATTTTTTCAACAACATATGCCTATAATTGTTAAAGTACTTTTTGGGCACAAAAGGGAAAAATAAATGAAGCTTAGGCCACTCTATTGCTTACAGTTCATCGCGGTTTATTTTTTCGTTTACGGGTTCTGCAAGAGATTCTGCAAGATGGCGTTGATGGAAGTGTCGCAGAGAGCGGAGATGCGGTTGTTGGACTAAACGAAAATTAAAAATGATATTTTTCAACATGTTCAGTCATATTTAGCTTATTTGGCAATTTTTTGAGTTTTTTTTCTCCATGTCAGCTCACACGTGTTAAAAAATCATGTTCCACTATCACACAATCATTTTTCCGATTAGTCAGCTCAGCCAGAGATATCTAATTGCAAATTTTAAAAATTCATACACTCAATTTGCAAATTTTAAAAATTTATACACTTAATTGATAGCATTTTCCGTTCAAGCACTAAAATATATCGACTCATGACCAATTCAGTAGCCAAATACTGAATGCTAACAAGTAGGTGAGAATCACAAGACTTCATTAAAGTTAAGATTTTAACTTGAACCCTTTAAGTCCTACATATATTAAAGTTGAGAATCACCTTAAATCGTTGAAGATATTTTCCAAAGTTAATTTTGTTAGATTTTGCTTTAATGAATATAGAACGTCTAATGACCAATTTTTCAATTATATTTTAACTATTATTTGTCATCTAAATTCATTGTAATAAAGGAGTTGTTGGGTTCTAAAGAAATAATTAAGTTATTTGAGATGCTTATGAAATTAAATGTGACTAACTAGACTTTTCTCAATTTTCTATAATTTTATTTTCATTTAAATGAGAATTTTTCTGTGTTTGTAGAATGCTTAGATGTTAATAATTGAGATCATATCATATTGTGTTGATAAGTATGTAAAAGAGAATAGGAATATGCTTTTGGAGGTTCGGTTAAGCAATTATATGCAGATGTCCTTTTAAGTGAAGTGATTTATTTTTTATTGCTTGAAATCTAAATTTATTCGAATGAGTTTTTTTTTTCTAATTTTATTATTTAGATAGCTCAAATCTTATATCTCTAGAAACGAACCAAAATAAATGCAAAATCCCTCTACGAGTGTGAATATTAACAACCGCCCACCCAGTCTTGGAAGATTAGACGGCGGATGTCACATTCGATGTCGAAGGCACCATTCTAACTAATATATTAATCTAGAAAGCACTATATGAATTAAAAGGGATTAAATATTTACAAGTGTAACAAGTATTAAGTTTTAATATAGAAAATTATTTTGAGAATCCTATCGAAAAACTGCAAAAATTTCCATTAAAAACTGAACTTTAATCTTATAAATACAAAACACTCACAATTCAACCTCAATCATCCAACCAAATTCGAGTACAGTCAAATCAACTCATTTTCAACTTCTAGATATACATAAACATTCATTTCTCATAATCACCATCATGGACATCAAACTTAAGATATTCACATATAATTGTCTCATAAATCGATACATAGTTAATCTAAGAAGTAAACTCTACATCAAGATGTTGCATAAATTCATAGTTAATTCCTTATACATATGCCCAAATAAAATATACTTCAAGCATACTTAAGTTACATACACCCAAATAACACATTCTCTAAATGATATTAATTATACATACCATATATCTTAAATACATAACAATAATTCTATAACTACCAAAAAGATCTCTTATGCTCCGATCCTACTCCCCTAGTCTTGGAGCAGCAACCACGGTCTACAACATGCACGTAATGAAAATTTAACGCGCTGAAAATAAAACTCAGTGGTACTCATAAATTACATATATCCCAAAACATTGCGATGGCAATAGACGAACAATCATGGATTTCACAAACAAGCTCATAATTACATCATCATTCAAATATCATGTATGCATAAATATTCATGGCATATAACATCCTATTAAACTCATAAGTCAATAATATTCAAGGTTATTATCATAGCAGGTCATACATTCGTTACTTAGACATTTATGCTAATTATACGCATGCTAAACATTTAAACCTAAGTTTCAATCATACTGTATAGTCTCATTTATTAGAATAAACACACATACACAACCAATGATCATATATTACAATATCATTAAACATAAGACACTCAAACCATAGATTTTAAGTATTTAAATCATAAGTATAAGTCATGATTCACAAATGCAAATATTATGAGTTATTATATTATTAAGCCAGATTCTTTAAATGTTTTACTTATGTGGCTCATATTCACTAAGGAGAAAATGAAGCAGATAAGATTTCAGAAACAGAAACATAGAGGCTATATAAGCCAATAGAGTCAGAGGGGCTTCAAGAGCCTAACAGAAACAAATAGAGTGCATCTGCTCATACATAGGACACCCACGTGCTTAGCATATGATCATAGCTAATATCAGAATGACATCAAGTGCCGAGCATGCTCATATAATAGAATAAATCAAATCAAACATCAAATTCTCACTAAGCATATTAAGCCCAAAACTTATCTTTCTTCCTTAATTTATAATATCTCTCATAAAACTCATTCTTCCTTTAATATGCTAGAAATTATCATAAATTCTTGATTAATAAATTTAAATCAAACATGAGACTCTTACTTTATCACGATTATCTTAACATAAAAATTTCACGTCATAAAAGTAAATTTTCATATTTAATTCATATACTCATTAATTAACTCCATTATATCATTTCTCAAACATATGCAAGTATATTCTTATGCTAAATAAGCAAGTTCCATGGCATATGCTCAAAATTCTCATACATTCATACATTAAGTCATAGAAACTAGTTTAGCATAAAAGCAAATCTCATCATACAATTCATTCCCTTCCATCCAAAATCATCCAAATCATTTCAGATATCATGAGAAACATAATTGCACTTAAAGCATGCATTATATTATACCTTACCTTGCAAATGCGTATGACTTGAGTTATAAGGGAATTGACATTTCTCAAGAAATACAAGGAATATCCATGCCAAATTTTAGCTACATGTTAAGCATCCTTAAAGAAGCGCATCCAAAGCTTAAAAGTATAATAACTCTTAAAGACACTACATTTCCAACGTTATGTCATAAGAAGGAAAAATCATAAAAAGTGTCTATCGTGCATTCCCAAGCCATTAACCATTCTAGCATCTTCAAATAAGTCTCAACATCATGCAATTAAGGTCTAGCTCATTAATTTCACACTAAGCATACAAAATTTCCAATTTATGTCATACTTTTGTCATAGGAAAATTCTCATAACTACATATTCATGCAATACAACTTCACCAATAATCAACTACATCCATATTACAATGTCTAAAAGTCTAATTGTGCATAAAAGGAAGGAAAGCTCAAACTTTTCCACCCATTTGTGGTTCAACCAACACATGAAGGGAAAGGGGGAGGCTTCTCTTATTAAACCAAACATGCTAACATCATTCATAATCACCCAAGAATCCAATCAAATCCTTAGCATGCATCAATTTAGTCATATAGCTCATTTTCCACAATTTTAACATACTTTTAGACATAGGAAAAATTAGTAA